CAACAGTCTGATGAATGCAGGTACGGCTGTCAGGACTCCGAAACAATACAGCACGTGACTGGTGGATGCCAAGCATTCGCTCCAAAGAACTATAAGGAGCGCCGCGACATAGCTGCCAAAATCATTCACCAGGAGTTGGCATACAAATTCAAACTGATCGAATGCAAGCTACAGTACTATAAATATACACCGCAATGTGTCCTCGAGAACGACAAGTATAAACTATACTGGGATCGCACTGTGCTTACGGACCAATACATGAAACAAAACAGACCTGACATAATCATTGTCGACAAGGGCGCCCAGAAAGTAACACTGATTGATGTGGCCATACCTAATAGTAACAATTTAACATACAAACATAATGAGAAAGTTGCAAAATACAGGGAGCTAGAATTTCCAATTAAACGCCAGTGGAAAATGAAGTACGTGGAAACAATACCAATAATAATGTCATCTACAGGGGTGATACCAAAAAGCCTGCTAGAAAACATCAAAGCGCTGGAACTGAGTGAAAACATTTACAAAATCATACAGAAAGGAGTTTTGCTGGCAACTGCCCGCATAGTAAGTTATGTGAAATGCAAGTACCTAGTGAAGTCACTATTAAGGCTTATCCCTTTGATGCTTGAAACGTCTCCTTTGCTGGCGACACCTGTTGAGGACCATACCAGTGAGTCGCCTTCTGGATCGACGCAAAGTGAGCTCACATATTCTAGATGCCGCTTTGTGGTTCGCCAGACCTTCCTCGAATCAGCGATGGGGACTATATGGTTCGACGGCTGGGAGATGGAATCGGAGTACCGAGTACACCAAAGCAGAGCAGAGTGGAGTATAGTCCAGTCAGTGGCGCGACATAAGAATTAGTCAGACATAACTAGTGGTGTACATAAATGTTCTATCTAGTCAAGATAAACAAATTAGTGCAGTTCCTTTTGTGCAATCCAGTGTTTTAATCCACATCCAAAAGAACCCAGAAAAACGCTACAATAATAATAATAATAATTGGAACAATTATAATAAGCAGTCGTTCACGTGGCTTACAGATGGAAGAGTCTTCACAGAAACAGAAGGATTTTTCATGTCAATACAAGACCAGGTAGTAGCAGCAAGGAATTACCGTAAACGCATAATTAAAGCGGAAAACCCAACACATACTAGCTGGATGTACCAAGCTCAGCCAAACAGAATACACCACGCGATACGACAACATGGGCAAAATATTACACGAGGCCATTGAGGAAAAAATATTCAACACACCACCAAATAGGCAGTACTGGAAGTACCATCCAGAACCAGTAAAGGAGAATGAAGTATAATTATACATTATACTGGAATAGATCAAACCATACTGATAGACAAGTGGTGCACAATACGCCTGTTACAACATTATGGCAGAAGGAATAGAAAACAGTTCACCTCATTGATTATGCGGTAGTTAATAGTCACAACATACACACGGCATACAGCGAAAAAATACAAAAATACCAAAGCTTGGCCCAACAAATAAAACAAATCTGGCAAGTAGAAAGTGTGAAAATCCGATAGTAATTTCAACAACAGGAGCAGTACCGTAATCATTAAGTAAACACTTGAAAGAACTCAATTTACCTAGTCACCTAATATCAACAATGCAACACTCAGTATGCAACCTTTTTCGAAAAACCCTGTCTTTAACGCATGGTCATTTGAATTGGCAAAACAGCTCGCAAGTGGTCACATCTACCATGCCCAATAGATGAGAAGACGTGCGATAATAATAATAATAATCGTCTTTATTAGGGACGAAGTTTATCGTAACACTTAACCCCAACCAAAGTACAAAAAAATATCTTATTGTTAACAACAAGTAATGATAGTTGTGTAAATGATTTGTGTATAAGATGAGATGTAAATTGTGACTGTCTTACAGCTTAAAGAAAACCTTACATTGAATAGTTTTGCGAAGGGAAAGCTTGAAAAAACAACTAATTAAGTATATTTATCAAAATAAATATTTCAACTTCTTTCCTAAATTTTTGTGGAAGTTCGTTATAGAGAATAACTGCGTTGCATGAGAAGTTTTTACGAAAGAAGGCTGTCCTCTGGACAGGCATTGTGAGTGTCTCCGCAAATCGAATATCTCTTGTGTGAATATAATTCCTAGGTATAAGTTAATCCTTTAAAAATGGAGGAATGGAGGATTTCTCAACTTATTGATTAATCTGCAACACGAAATTTGAATTTTTTAGAGACGGATGAGAGAAGTGGAGTCTATACAGGGTGACTTCGAAGTTGAGTCATTTATTTTAACAGTGAGTAGATCTGATCAAAAGAAATGTTTTTTTCCTATAACATTTTTCTGGTAAAATTAAAGTAACAAAGTTATAGCTCTTTAGAAGTTTGAGTACCGCCCTGTCTCAATAATAATATTATGTGCTCGTGTTTGGCAACAACGGATATGATCCGCCTTATCGGTATGGGAAACAAAAAAGCGAAAGAATTTGAAACGCTTATCACGATGTTTTTACTACAATTTTATTCAGTTGTATTCAGTCAATGTGTCAGTCGGTAACGCGTGAGTGAATAGTGGTGTTTGTTGCGTGGCTCAAACGAAATAAAAAATGGCACATGTTTACGAAAATGCTCAACTTGTGAACATGACTCTTATTTACGGGGAGTCTTTACAAAATGCTGCCGCGTCATCACGGATTTATGCGGATCGGTTTCCCAATCGAGTGCAACCAACCCCTCGTGCCTTTGTTAATGTAGTACAAAGGGCTCGTGAATCAGATGACTTGAAACCTCACAGGGGAGAGCATGCCGGTGCTCCAATCCATCAAACAGAACTAGAAGAACAAATTTTAGAATTAGTAAACAGTAAGTACCCGACACATTTCAACTCAATTGGCGATTAGTCAATATAAAACTTGAAAAACTGTACGTGAAAATCAGTTCTATCCGTTTCACATACAAAAAGTGCAGGCCTTACAACCGGAAGATCATGAAAAAAGGGTTAACTTTTGCAATTGGCTTTTAAATAAACATCAAAACAATGACAATTTTTTAAATCAAATTTTAGTGAGTGATGGAGCCATCTTTACTAGAAACGGAATTATTGATTCACGTAATTCTCACGTTTGGGCTATTGAAAATCCCCACGAAATAAGGGAAACCAATTTTCAACAGCGATTTGAACCAATCAACCTGTGGGCTGGAATTGTTAATGGAATTTTAGTGGGGCCTTTTGAATTACCAAATCGCTTAACTGGTGAAAATTATCTTGATTTCTTGCAGCACAATTTGCCTGGTTTACTGGAAGATGTGCCTTTAAATATTAGACAAAACATGTGGTTTTTACAAGATGCAAGGAATGTGCGTGAATTTTTAAATAGATAATTTAATAATCGTTGGATCGGCCGTGGCAGTTTTGTACCTTGGCCGCCAAGGTCTCCGGACTTAAATCCTTTAGACTTTTATTTGTGGGGTTGGCTAAAATCTCTAGTGTATAAAACACCGGTTAATACACGCGAAGAATTACGTGCTCGAATTGAGGAAATGAGTACAGTGATCAGAAATCAACCAGTGATTTTATTGCGTGTTTGTAAAGAGACATGGCTAAGACGCACCCAGCTCTGCGTCGAGCAAAACGGAAATCACTTCGAACAGTTTTTGTGACATGCTTTTGGGCGCACAGGTCCGCACTGAAATACTTGTCGGGAGGATACTTTATAAAACAAGGTAACATTTTTTTATTTTTTTTTTATTTTTACACACACATGTTTTGGTTTATCTTCCTTCTACAATTATCATCTGAAAATTAAGGACTCTACTTCAAAGTCACCCTGTATGTATGACGATACAGTTAAGGCGACGTCGGACTTAATTTCAATAGTTGAAATCAGTTATAATTGTATGACTGAGGTAAGAAACGTACCGAGTACCCGGTTTGTACCCGGTTTTGCCGAGTATTCAATTACCAGGCCGGGTAATTACTCGGTCTGAACGTAAAACACACAACTTGTATAAATCAAAAAATTGAATTTGTAATGTGCATAATCTAATCCCACATGACTTTCTAACTCCTTTCGGCTATGTTCTCCAGGAAATTAATGCATCATCGTGAAATTAGCTAAAATTACGGCACATCCTGTCGGAATTAGGGAACTGGTTTGGATGATTTTTTAGTAAATGTCAGTCGTCTTCTGGTATTCTCCAGTGAAAAAACACAGCAAAAATCACAGGACACATTGAAAAAAGTGCAACAAAAATCGTAAATAACCCAAATATAGCGTATTGACAAAGAAAACTTCACTCATACGTGATAATTCAGGTTTAGTTGTTCTCAAATCTACGCTACGACATTCAGCAGTTTCATTTTTTTTTGTAAACCTTCTGCCGAAGGTTCAAAAGTTTAAGTTTTATATTGGTGTTCCTGAAGGCGATGATGTGGCAGCGATTATAAGGTTTTTTCGTTTGAGCATCTTAAGGTCTCCCATTGCCAACCTTTAGAAAAAATGAAGGTTTAATAGATGAGTATATCCCCTTGAATTGCCTAACAATGTACTTGTTGCATTAAAAAAGATTGAAAAGTAAATCAAAGACTGTATAATATAATGTTAAAATATAATTTCAATTCTAAGTTTTGCTTGTAGTAACTGAATTACACGGTTTCAAACAAATACTTAACTGTTGCAAGATTCTTAAATATTTGGAGAACAAAACTCTTGAAAATACTATCAGTACACTGACTTGTCACGCTTCATACACAAAAATGGCCTAAGTGCACAATAGTTTTTTTTGGTGCATTAATTTTCTTAGATAAGCATTACAATTTTGAAAATAGAGAGACCTTTCATGCACGCAAATATAATTAATAACAACAGTATCTGAAATAACCCAGAGCCAACTCGACCGAGTACCCAGTATTAGAGGCTGACCCACCCGGTACAGTGCATTTTGAAAAAGGTGCATCCCTAGCTGCGGTCCAGATCTGGTATAAGCGGAAGTTGATTACTTACTTGGTCGTGGAGAGTCTGCCCAGCCTGTGAAAGCCATGCTAGTGCTGCTGTATATCCGCCGAGAAAAATGACTGCTCCTAAAGGCTTACTCTACGTAAAAAAAAGATTTATTAAAAATGATTTCTGAAGAAAATAATAGTTCTGTATTTATCCAACTTATAATAAGATTTTCGAAAGTTATGTCAAATTTGGTCATCTCAGCCTGATCTTGGATAGCCGAGTTCTACCAGAGAGTCGTTTACTTAGGTTGGTCGGTGTCAGATCACCAAGGACTTGATCTGGCACGAACTCATCTCGTCTATAGCGGCAGCTGCTGGGAAAGAGCTAGACTGTTTAGGGCTCCACATGACCTCACTCTGTACGAGGCACAGATAACACCTAGCCTCGAATATTGCTTGCATGTTTGGGGTGCTGCCGTCCCGACTACATTATCCATATTCAATGCTGTTCAGAGAAAGGCTGTCCGACTGATCGGTGACTCTTTTCTAACGGACAGTCTCGGGACACTTTCGCACTGGCGGCCCGTCCGCGACCTAGGTCTCTTCTACCACTCGCTAAAGGGCTTTGTTCCTCAGAGCTCTCCTGCATCAAGTAGACCTTCGTACATTCAGAACTGGCCGGTACGATCGTTCCTCTGTCCCTAGGGTATGGAGATTGTAGGCCAATCTACATGAGGAGGCTTTCCTTAGTTCCACTAACCTTAGGCAGTTCAAAAATCAGATTAACAAATATTCTTTAAGCTCCTCTTAGCAGCCCTGGCATTACGGTTTCTGCCTGTGCGTCTACTTTGGGGTAGAAAACTGCAGCATTTTGATGTTTTCTTTTGATTTTAGTTGCGCAAACTTGAAGCGCACAGGAGCACTATTTACCTCCTTCTCTTTTGTTACTACACTGAATCGTGACATATTCCGTGTAGGGTACTATCCATTAAGAATCTATTAGACAACTTACAGGTTTACAAAGTAACTTCTGTTTTCATATAGTTACAAGTCACACTTCTCGGCGAGGGCACCCGTGCAAACTGTGATTTATAGCTTATGCAAATAGAAGTTATTCCTAAACGCGTCAGTTGTGTCCCTTAATAGACGCCTCGTTAAAAGTCGTTGGAGCGATGTCGTTCAAACTCTCCTCCAAGGGCGTCCTTTTGGGGATGTATCTCTGTAGGCATGTCCTGTACGGCACTTTCAATGGCAACCGGCTTCAATGTTTAGATGGTAGACCATCTCAGAATAGTTTACATCGTCGAAATGCTACCGAAGCTTCGCGAGTGCATGCAGACCGATTTTCACGATGCTTCGTGATTTATTTTTTTCTTTAGGGCAAAGAGAAATGTTTGGTGTGCGGACTTAGGAGTCTGCTGCGTTAGTTCGGAAAAGGCAGTCCATTCTAAAAGTATACTCTGATGCTTGGCTAGGTATTCTTTCTTAAAATGAAATGTCCCAATTTTCAGGACACGCTGTAAATGAACTAACCGATTACCGAGTATGTATTTACATGGAAAAATTGGGTAGCTTCATGGTAACACATATACTCACATTGTATATTTGATTTGCTATAGTTCCAAATATTATGGCCCAAAGGACGGGCAAATGGCCTATGGAGCTCTTTAATAAAGGTACCAGCTGATCTGCAATGCTAGAAATGTGAAGGGATGTGGGTTTCATTTGAAATTTTCAAAGCAGTCAAGAATTCTAGCTAGGTAGCGCTTTGACTCCCCAGCATTAAATTTGTGCTGCAAAGTCGAAGCTGCTGAAATTGATCACAAGCTAATGAAAAAAGATGTAATTAGTAGAGGTGCGAGTATTTGAGACCCTTGAGGCTGTGACTGACAGTGAAGCACGAAATGAGGAGTTACGACTTGTGCCAATCAGAGGTTTTTTCGAAATTTTTTTCATGATTATATTACCTTAAAATGTAGGCATGGTAGTCCACACAGATCTTCAATTTTTGTCGCCTGGTATCCACGTCACTCTCTACAAACGCGTCCTCCAAATACAAACTGAGATGTCCGATTCGAGTCATCAGCATCTCTACAAACTCATAGTAAATGTAGCAGTACAAACTAGAGGGCAATAACAACCACGCTATCGCGCACAGTTGACCCCAGAAGATCAACTTGGTGTTTATGTCAAACGGCAACCAAACCGGCAGATAGGTTCCACAGAAAAGGTTAATTTCAACGTTGGCTGAAATTTCCCTGCATTGCTTCGCATCTATCTGGGTTAAAACTGCGTACATAATGGCTCCCGTGAAGACGTAGAGTATATACATTACTGACAGCATGTTACAGTGCTTGATGGTGCTATCCATTTTTGGAGGCTTACCAAACCTAGTAAAAAATGAGTTCTGTGACATTGAGTGTGAGTAGTCGCAAAAGTCTCAGAGTATGTGGACGAGGTCCCGTGCATAGCGGCAGCACTGTGAAGTTCCTACACATCGTGTCAATGAATTCGTCACTGCCACAATAGAAATTCGACCTAACTTACTGTCATTGAGTGATTTTATGGCAATAGAACAGACAAATCCGAACCACTAGATATGTTCACCTTCTGGACGAGTTCTGAGTCATATACAGAGCTAGCCGGCACTTTAGAGTCCGCAATCCTTTGACAGCAAAGGATTAATCAATATAGGGTCATAATAATAACTTCACGATGCTGCACCATACTTAGACTAGCAGACATTCTACCAACCATGCAAACCCAATAAGTTATAGTATCTTATTTTTCCACTAAACTTCGGTTGGTAAAAATAAGCTAAGTTTTCTAGTAAATGAAGTGATGAGACTGGCAACGTTGCATTCGATCTGGCAACAGTGCGCCTGGTTTGAAGGGAGGCAGGGGAACATGTGATGCGCTATTAGTACAAGTTTGAACACTCATTTGGTTGTCCGTAGCGATTTTTTTGTGAAACAGCTTCTTCTATTGTGTTCTAAAAATGAGTGAGGTTAAAGGCATTTTCAGAAGGCAGAGATTCTATTGAGGATGAACCATGAAGCGCAAGGCCTTCATTTTCAAGAACTTATGAGAATATCTTGTGGATTCAGATCGTTGTTTGACAAGCAGAATGGCCGGGGAAGAGTTAGATTTGACTCACACCATCGTTCACCAGATCAAAAACCACTAGGTGTTGCATTACGGTAATGCTCCTTCACACACAGCAATGTCAATAAACGAGTTTTTAGCCAATAAAAACATATGACTCCCCAGCCTTCCTATTCGCCTGACTTGAGTCCTTGTAACTTTTTCTTTCCAAAGTTGAAAAATCATCTCAAGGGATGGAACAGTCGTAGACATTAGAACGGCTGTAACCGAGCTGCGCAGCTGAAGGCTATTCTATTAAACTGCTATGAGGAGCGGAAAAACAGTATCCGACACTGTATGGCTTCACGAAAAAGTTATTTTGAGGGTGGCAAAATAAAGTTGTAAATAAATGTGAATGGAAAATTTAAAAAAATCGGCCCCATCACTTAATTTACAAATCATGATGATAATCAAGCTATCAGGTACCCAGCCAGAGCCTGCCCGGCCCAGCGTTCAGCGTGAGAAGTTACGCTGTGCATCATTGTCCAAACTGAGTGTGGCTTAACTTAGCAGTTAGCTCCCAATTGGATTTCAAAGAATTAGATATTTTAACATTCCAAGCAAAACAAATGCACTTGCAACATTTTAGTCGAAGATTGCATAACAATTAACCGATATATTGCGACATCAGTTGTGGCTGTTTTTTCGCGCTTCTGGGAGGGCTTTTGATGTTTTCGGAAAGATGGGCGAAGGTAACCCATCTGGTACATTGAAAGTCGACAAACAGCCTCATACTCGCTTGTCGCCTATGCTATGCGTGGTGCTGTAATAAACTTCGGGATCATGACCGCACAATCTCAATATGTTGTTGTGATATAATAAATAAAAAAAACGCACTGTCATCCGGTAGACAAATAAACCATATTTGTCATTGTGCTGAAGAAAATCACCCTTGTGATTTAAACCATTACGGTAAAGAAGATCTGTCAATACTTGTGACAAGGGTGGGAGATTAACGAAGCTATCGACTTAGTTTTGGTCTACGTTGAGCGTATTTAAGATTCTCCTGATCTTTGCGAGCAAATTTAGCTTGTTTTCCTGGTTACCTGTGCCAGCAAAGTATGTTGCAGGGCAGCACTTGAAATTTTAGATAGTGTTCCAAATCTACTTTATTCTGAAACAGTGAATCTCAACATTCAAGATGGTATATACTTATGAGCCTAGGTAGCTGTTTAACACAAAGTCAAGAAAGGTGAAAAATAAAGGATTAAAGACACTCAAAAATTAGAAAAAAGCAGCAGTATAAAGGATGTCCTGAAATTGAAGGATAATCCTACAACTGTACATGGGTTACGTCATAGTCTACTAGATAGAAAAATTTTGTTTTAGTAAAAGTCTTATATTTTTCGAGATTTTCAGTAACCTTTTTTTTCTAAATCGTGCTTATATGGAGCTAATACCGCGCAGTTGCTACAAATATTAAGTTTGTCTTAAAACACTCAGAATTATGCATTGCATCTCGTCCAGTATTATAATTCCCCCTCTTTACGTATGACTTTGACATTCTGTAGAGTCAGAGGGTCAAGAAGGATCACCGTGCCAATTAGTTAAAGAAAGTTGGCCAACTGTTGGCAATTTTCAAATAGTATGAACGATTGTTATTCGCACTCCGCTGTTGTGTGTTTTTTTCGTTTTATTGCACTTAGAATAGAAGAGGGTCAATTTTTGTAGTTATCAGAAAATAACAATTTGTGGCTTGGATACAAAAAATCGAAATGGTTGACGCTACAGGATATTTTACATTTAACATATTAATGTTTTGACTGTTATGCATGACCTCCAAAAAATAACCGCTCTGATGCTCCAGGTTGGTGCTATTCTGTTACTGTGATCAGCTTAGCTTGGCATACGAATTCTTTAAGGCAATCCCTATTAAAAATTCGGTAGAAGCTTTTGGTTGCAATGAAATAAGGCCGCGCAGCGTGAACCACCTTCATGAGTAATGCATGTTTGTAATTGAAGTAGTCTCGATCTGACCGAGTGTGATGTGCCGGTATATTATTGAGTATTAGTATGTTGCAGCAGATCGTACTCAGAATATTTTTCCGATCAGATGCTAGAATAATACCTATACTATACGTACCATGCTTATTTTAAAAATACTTTTAAGCATCTAGTAGCCTGGTTTCAAACTGACAAACTCAAATGCACGCTAGAGGAAGCACAACAACATATATTGTTCCTAAGTTTTTTAATTTTATATAATCAGTGGTCGTTCAGTACCTTTTGTTATTTGTATTTAGAGTTTTATAGTTGCATTCGCATTGAGGTTTTATTAGTTTGCTAGTTCTTATGCCTTCAGAGTTAGTTGTTTCATTATGGATCTGATATATGGGGAATAACCATCATCTTCTTGTGGATAACCTTAATAATTTCGGCCTTAGTGACTCATTAGTCGGTCTTCTAAGCTCATATCTTTCTAATAGGACGCAATACGCTTATTATAATGGTTATTCTTCAGCTAATTATACTGTTCCCTCTGGTGTACCGCAAGGTTCAAACCTAGGTCCCTTGCTATTTCGATTCTTCATAAATAACCTAGCCGCTTCACTAATGTGTGAATCTTTACTATTTGCTGATGATCTGAAAATCTGCACCAATATAATAAATTTGGAGAGCTGCATTTCCCTTCAGGACGATCTGCGTACCATCTCACAGTGGTGCGACAATAATATTCCCTTCTTAAAAATTTCCAAATGCAAAGTATTATCATATTGTCATAAAATGAACCCGATTATGTTTGATTGCTCCATAAATAATGCGGTTTTGGAGAGAACAACAGAGACTAAAGATCTTGGTGTAATATTTTCCTGTAGACTGGACTTTTCTGTCCTTATAGCATGCGTCATTTCCGAAGCGACACGGATTCTGGGTTTCATAATGCATAACTGCCGATCTTTTTCCAACGAAGCGGAAGTTTTTTTTTATTTCACTGGTGTGACAAAAACTTGAGTATGCTTCTTAGATATGGGACCCTTTCTATGCGTATTATACAAACATCTTAGAAAATGTACAAAGAAAATTTCTTAAATACTGTTTTTATAAAATCGATGGCACATATCCAGAAAGGGGGGTTTCTCAATTTGTTTTACTGCGTCGTTTTGAACTAGAGTCTCTACAGTGAAGACGTTCCACTGCTGGCCTGTCATTCCTTCACGAGAGTGGATGCACCAGAACTTCTCCAGAAGTTGAATTTCTGTATTCCACGGTTAAATACGAGAAGAACTGTAACTTTCTACTGCAGTACCTCCCGTACCAATGTATTATTCTATTCTCCGCTACATTCTATATGCAACAATTGTAATTCCATAGCAGACAGTTCTGACATTAATTTGGATTGTATCAGTAAGATCTTGTCGAATTTCAGGTACTATTATAATAGCTAATTCTGTTTTTAAGTTAGATTTATGTATACATTATATGTATACTAAGTGACATATAAATCCGAACACCCACTTTAAATGGCTTTATTTTAATAAAAGTTGGTGAATGTATTTATCTTACTGTAAATAACAAGTGAAAAAATTTTCAGCCTTATCAGTTGGACACTCCGGTTTTTATACTGCTTTTTTTTAATTCACTAACGCTCTAAAAATGAATATTTCAGCCGCAGTAAAGAATCAACGTAGGCGGATTTTGGTTCTTGACATCCTTTACGATCGGTTACGATGCCTAGAGTACGGAGACCTGTACGATTTCGTCAACTTAGTGAGTTTGATAGGGGCCGTATAGTGCGACTTCGGGAAGCTGGACTTTCTTTTCGGGCAATTGCAGTTAGAGTGCAAAGATGTGTAGACACTGTGGTTAGGTGTTGTCAGGCATGGCTTCGAGAAGGCCGTACGCAAAGAGCAAGGGGCACTGGACGCCGCCGTAGAATAACAGACCGTGAAGATCGCCGCCTAAGATTATTGGCCTTAAGGGACCGTTTCTCCACTACCAGGTCCATTGCAAATGAATGGTTTGCAGAACACGGAAGACCTATTGGCAGGCGAAGTGTTTACCGACGAATGAGAAGTTTTGGCTTGTTTTGCATACCGGCCACACTGGGTCCTCCCTTTAACTCGAGAACACCGACGTAATCGCCTTGAGTGGTGCAGACAACGGTCACTCTGGGATCAGGAATGGAACAGTATTGTCTTTAGTGACGAGTCTCGATTTTGTTTAGGCATGCACGATGGTCGTGCCAGGGTTAGAAGGCGACGTGGTGAAATTAGGAATCCACAGTTTTTTGTTGGAAGACATGTTCATCACACTGTTGGAGTTATGGTTTGGGGTGGTATAGCTTATGGTTCCAGGTCACCTTTAATCTTCATCAGAGGTAACATGAACGCGCAGCGTTATATCCACGAAGTTCTAGAACCCCATCTTTTTCCCTATCTTGACACCCTGGCAGATCCAACTTTCCAACAAGATAATGCCCGACCACATGTTGCAAGAGTCACAATAGACTTCTTTCAACATAATGATGTCACATTGTTACCATGGCCACCAAGATCTCCCGACTGATCCCCAATTGAGCACGTGTGGGATATGATGGGTAGGAGATTGCTCAATTTGCAACGTCCTCCTCAGACTCTAGAAGCATTTCGAGAGGAGTTGGTGGTTGCCTGGAATGAGATACCACAGGAGGACATTGACCACCTGATCAGAGGCATGCCTAGGCGCGTTGGAGAATGCGTAGCACATCAGGGTGCATCCACACATTAATAAAGGTCAAAGGGCTTTAAAGCAGTGCAATCCTTTTGAAATTTTTATCATTTACTTATTATGCTTCATTAAGTACTTATACAAAATTTTATTAAAATAAAACCATTTAAACTGGGTGTTCGGATTTATATGTCACTTAGTATATGTATTATAAGTAAATATACCATTATATTGTCCTCTAATTGGAATAGTTCTGTTGGGCAATTATGTATAAAATATAATAAAGGCTGCTCACTACAATAGCATCTTAAATGTAAATTATCCTTCAACATCACTGCTGTTCATTTTTTGTATAGCAACCATAAATTTTCAATTTCAGATATATAGGAAAACTGACGCTCCTCCATTACAACTGCAATAATCAAAAAACAGCAGAGGGCGAAGAACATTAATACCTTTGAAAAAAATTGCCCTTGGTTGGCCAACCTTTTCGAGGCTCTTGATCCTCTCCCTCTACAGGGTGCCAAAGTCAGACATAAGAACCGGTCTCTATTAAATATACTTTGGTGTGACTTTTAAGAGAGCTTTACGCCACCTTAAGGAAAAATAATACTGGGCGAGATGAAATGCTTGAATCAGAGTGTCTTAAAAAAAATCTGGTCCAAAGAGTTGGCATTTATGGAAATGGCGCTGGATTAACCGAATATAAGCCATTATTTCAGAAAAAAAATTGAATGCCGAAAATCTCGATAAAACAAAATCTTACCATCTACAGTTGCATGATTATATTCCAATTTTGGAACACCCTGTATAGTGTAAAGTACGAAATGGTATAGGTGACTTTTTGGTAAACGAACCTCTTGCAATCCGCCATATTATGAAGGACGCGATGGAGTAAGCTGTACGACATCATTGATCGTCTGAACGTCGTAATAACGCTTGTTCCACTCACTGTTACTGTTATGTCTTCAGCGATGTTGATTCCCACATTTCCTGAAATATCCCTTATTTTAAAGCAGACAGATTAGTTGATTCCAACTGACGATGCGATGATTTCCTCATTCCGCTAAAAATATAAACTATACTTTTCCTTGTAACAGACAAAAAGCTTTATGGAGTAATTGTTACTTACTACAGAAAAAAATGCAATAGGAAGGTTCGACATTTTTCGTATTTCTCTTATTTTAATTAAAATCGAGGGATTTTGTTATTAAAGAACGGTCAAAGGAATTTGAGTGCAAAATATTAATATTTACGTCGACGAAAAGCATTTTAAAATCAAGGATCGCGAGACTAGACCGCGTGACGTCAGTAGCCAGACACTTGCTGTCGCCCTCATAGAGTACTTGTATCTTATATTGTCTTGTATACGGAGTGAAGAGTATACAAATACGAATTTATATAAACTGGGACCGATGTTTGTGTACTTTATTTATTTGTGATATCACAATACTCCAAGGTTATCAGAAAGCTGATTCGCGAAATTTACCCCATGTGAATGTGGAAATGATGCTCGAGTTTTTGGCAAATGATGCAAAATTAAATGAACCTCAGAGCAGCGGTGCTAAAGTAGTTCGGTAAGTATCTATTTGAAGCTAATTTTCTTTGTTTAGCTCCAATAGGTAGTATTTTTTTGTTTTTCTCCCCAAAATTGATCCTGCTTTGCTTTAGTCTATTGAAAGCTAATAATATTAAGACAAAATAATGCCTGCTCCCGACAATAATTTTGAAGGCTATTTATCTCTGCTTTTTTCTTCCTAGGTTAAATATTGTGGAATTTAAATTATCATACATACCTTTTTACCTTGTTACGCCTATTAAAAGCCCCGAAATTGGTTCTCTTTGCATGCACAAAGAGGCTTTATTACACTATTCTGTAGTAAAGTATGGTACCTAATATGTTTTCAATGCGAGAAATTCCAGGGATGGAGAGAGAATCCTATTTTTTTAGGGTCTCTTAAATTAGGGGGGCAGTCACATTATAGAACTTTATAGCTACTAAAATATCAAAGTTCAGGGCTGCATTCGGGGGCTGAGCAATGAAGCCAGGTTCTAAACGTTGACTAGTATTGCGCTTAGAATGACTACCTACTCTAATAATAATTTGTTTTAGATCTGGAAAAGAAGATTACGGAGACTCTGTAGTTGGTTATGTTCAAGTGTCTTGTCACATACCTGTGACTGAACTTCTACTATTAAAGGTTCAGGCAGTTTCGGTTGAGGGTCCCGCCCGGCGTGCCGCCGCTGTCTGCAAATATTTGGCGATGTGTTTTGGAACACTCACAAAAAAATTTTGTGGTGTAGTACTTGACGTACTTGTCCATTTTGGCACAAAACACCACTTTCTGTTCGACATTTAAAACCGTAAAAGTTCTCAGAATTTAACAGTAATCTATCGTGCCACCTCTAACTACTCCAAACCGATTGCTGAGGCGTTGTTGTGAGAATGCTAAATGCAGCTGGCCAGCTAGTGAGGTGTGTCTGGCTACTGACGTCACGCGGTTTAGTCTCGCGCACAGGTACGTTTTCCAGCGTCGCGCCGATCCTTGATTTTGAAATGCTTTTAATCGACGTAAATATCAATATTTTTTGCTCAATTTTTTTTATCGTTTTTTAATAACAAAATCTCTCGATTTGAGTAAAAATCAAAAAATGGCGAACCTCCATATAGTCTTAGCATTTAGTGCAACTTTCTGAAAAAAAAAACACGAGCAAAAACCAAAATCAGACTCTCATGTCACGTCAGTTATATTTCTAGTGTTATGGTTCACCTTCCATGCATGCTTTGAGGTGAAATATATTATATTACAACCACAAAGTGAAACTAAAAAAGGTATGCTTAGTTTTCTTTGATTGTGAGCATCCTCATTACAATCCACGTACGAAGAAGACGATAGAAATGCCCATACGCACTAAATGTAATCACTTTTCGATGCATACATGCAGAATATACACGGCTGAAAAGGACATTGATTTCCGTCTCCTGTAACAATGACCAATGACAGCGCTGTTTCGAGCTTATAGCAACTCATCAGTGCGCTATAGGTTTCAGGCCTAGTCGTGGAGACAGGTGAACAGAAAATCACACGAATAGTGGTCATTTGAAAAACTCGGCAAATTGTACGGAAGTAGCTGGAAAACTGAACATGATGAACACTTTTGTAGGTAGAATGTATCCATAACCCATTACATTTCATAATTGAGAAAAGTTGCTCACGATGCAAGGAAAAACAAAATATTTTACTTCAGCATACTTATACGACGGAAAGAATAGTTTTCTTATATGGTGATTACCTAAATCTTGGTGTTGTCTCAGATACAATAAGCAAATAGGCTCTTATTACTTACCTTTAGTGACAACCACCATATGCAAGGCGGTAGGAACGATTATCGTTAGAATAAACAATAGAGGCAACGCCAAACCAAAAAATTCGTATCTCCTTATAGATGCTTTATCCGTCTTATCAATATGCAAACCAAATATTGACAACATACCCAATGTACCATAGAAAGGGTACCCTTTTCTCACATGATACATGTTGTCATCAGACATTGTTCATACCAACTGATATAAATCGTTGATAATCTACACAGAATGCAGAAAAATCGCATTTATCTACTCAAAGTCACCAATTATCATGTTCTCCGTAAGCCAGTGGCCTTTTGATTTACGCTGGTCGTATAATTTTGACCTGACGATAATAAATCTAGTATAATTGAAGGATAACTTGTTTTGCATGTGAATTCATTATTAATTCATTATTTTGAAATCGCTTGGCTACCAGTATTAGCTCTAGCCATAGAAAATATTTGAGTTTAGTATCTCAGAAGAGTTACGACTGAAGGAATAATATTGCATTCCTTTGATTTTTACTTATTATTGTACTTTTCAGCATGTGCCATCTAAGCCTCCAAACATGGACCAGTTTCAGGAATTACATTATGTACTGTCTAATTTCGCAAATAGTTCACGGTTCATCCACGTGTCCTCGAACAGCATCTTCTATGGTAAGATGGTAAAGATACACCTTTGTTTCCATAAATTATGTGACACTCTGCCGTCCTGAACGGTTCCATATAAGAATCCAAATGCAGCTCAAAGCTCCTATCAACTCACTGTGCTGCATACCAGTACAGAATAAAGTAAGCGAAACCTTAAACCTAAAGCATGTACAAAGTAAAGGGACAAAAAGTAGTTCTAAGTTGGATACGGATTATTATTTCATTCATGAAGGTGTCAGTGTTACAAGACTAAGGGCCAATTTCACCAACAACAGTCCGTTATTCTCCACCTATAGGGTAACAGTCCCTCAAATACAGCGAATGAGCTTCAAGTTCCACTCAACAAATTTTAGCAACAATAGCTATGAAATGTTGAAAACAAAATATTGTAAAAGTATGAGATGACATCTTCTCATTGAAACATCCCCTGCTTATTGAATATTAAGAAATTACATATAATTCAGTCAAAATTTAAACAAATGTTTGATTTTTGAATAAAATTCATGTTTTAATTACCATTGTTGATTTTTTATTCATGATAATATTATTTTCTTCAATTGATACACGATTTTACTGATTCAACATCATCTACTGGGTGTTTTTTCCAATAAACCTGTTGCAGATAGCCATTAAGCACCTACTTGATGACTGGCTCTACCTAAAAGTTCATAGATATCGCTCGTTTCCAAACATTCATTCATTTTCTTGCCGTTCATCAGAACCATTATGGCACCTTAGATTGATATTCCCACAAAACCATTCTGGTTTTTTAATATCCATACATCCATAAAGTTGTATATTTTTCGTTGTTCAGGAACTTAACAAACATCCACACTATATTAGCGATTAAGAAATACCCAAATATATGTCGTAGAGCTACCAGCAAACCTAAAACCTGCAGAAAAACTAGAAATTTGCAATATTTTTCTTTTTTCACTGAGTAGATATTCTGGGTTATATTTATATTAGACGTTATTTGAATACAGCTGATTATTGCATTTCAAGGAGTGACACATGTGTGGGCTCTGTCAACTCTTGGTACCAGTCACAAAACATACTCTGAAGGTTTAATTCCATGCTATTCAATCACAACACGGTGACTTGTGTGGTTGTCAGCGGCCATTTTGTGAGGGTGCGATAGGGTTGCCAGATTGTGCATTAATATCCCGTTTCACCCTCCTGGTCCCAGTGGAGTAAGTTCCGCCAACTGTTGAAATATACTCTACTATGCTTTATAAGCCTATTCGTGACATTGAAATTTAAAATTATTTTCATGACGCCGCAAAATAGCTCCTTCGGTATCTTGGGTTATACATCTTGACAGTAGGGATGTTCGATAGGATCCTATATTTAGAAGTATCAATACATTTCACGAGTATCGTCATCTTTCGATCCGGACTGTGTCAGAAAGAGTGACTGCCATTTGGCTGCCACATTACCGTGCCAAATCAGACATATATTTCATCATTTTTAAGGAAATTGTACAAAATCTTCAAATTTCTGAAGTTAGCGAGTTTCACTTCTTACGTTCTTACCAGACATGCCCAAATCATCAGTTGCTGCCGTGATATTCATCCCGACTACTGCATCCCCACGGCTAGGCGACCTGTATGTTAAATTTGTATTGATGGGGCAGCGGGTTATGCTATAAATCATATTATGTCACAGTGTTTGTGCACTGATTGCAACAGTTAGATGATAGGTACCAAAAATATTTTCATAAATAGGAGTTCTTTCCCATTCCGGTTCGAACAATCTACCAAAGATGCTTATAATCATGATACCTAGTAAATTTTCACGAAAAAAGTTCAAAACCTGCAAATGTAAAAGATTCATTTCGCACCCTCCACCACGGGACGTGATCGTCGTTAGACTTGGCAACCCTGCGAGTGTCAGATAGATATCCCCGCCAGTGACAAAAAAAAAATGGACAAACAGCAAACATTACTGGTAATTTTGATTTTTGAACTTAACAGCCATTATCTGGTAAACATTTTTCATAATTTTTTGTCTATGTCCATAGTAATTGCATTATGCATCAGGGAGATGTAGGGATTGACACGTCTTACACACGTTATCTGTGTTTTAGGATGGAGAGGACATAATTTTTTTATTGCTTTGAAGAAATTCATTATCCAATAAATTAATAAATGATTACTATTATGACATAAAGGAAGATGAGGAATTGGATGGAATGTATTTTATATTCTATTTTCTTGCAAAATACAGACAAATCCACACTATTCAACAGGCATGTAATGATAACTTTCAGTATATTGAAGTTGGTAAATTCAAGAGTGCCATGCATTAACAAACGCCTAAATCTGCTGCCAAATTTAACAGCTAGAAAATTTACCTATTATTTGCCGCATTCCCATTCGCTGAGGGGGATAACAGATTGTTAAATGTAAACCTATAACATATATCAAAATACTTAAAACTAAAAACAATTTCGTAGTCATGCTGAGGTCAAGCGATCTTATCATGCCATTTGTATATTACTTTTGAAAAAGTAATTTATTGAATTTCCATTTACTGTCATTCATGTAGCAATAAATAAATAAACCTACTTGATAATGTGAGAATGATACTCAGCACAATATTCTAACATTTTCATTCTTTTCTTCAACTGTCTTTTTTGAAATATCTTCCTGAGTCGACCAGTAAGAGAATGCATGTGTGACACGATCAAAATAACTTCTTCGTAATGCATATTGCATACCTAAAGTCGCAGTCAACTAAACTATATGTTGTGATCGAATAATATACGAGTACAAAGACACATTAAACTAAGAATATGCCAGACAAAGAGTAGAGGCGACAGAAATGTATTTGCTGCCGGGTTTTGAGGCTACAGAGAATCAGAATCTATGAAATAAAGCGAGGAATGGACATTCAGGTATCGGTGACAGAAGAAATTAAGATACGCGGAAGAAGATTTTAATTTGGAGACCTCCTTTCAGAAGGAACAGTCGTAATCCGCCAGAGGGATGGGAAAAGCAAGTCAGCCGTGATATATAGAGTTTGGACAAGTAAAGGGGCATGGAGGAGGGAGAAACGCGCCGGTATACAGGTATAGAGAGTCGATTGAAGATGAAGCACGAAGCGAAAGGCATTCGTCTCCAAGAACCGACAAAAATATCGACAGAATCCGGGTCTTGTTCGAGTAGATCGTCGACTGATAGTCAGAATGATCGCGGAAGAGTTAAGTTTCACTCACATCTTCGTTCATCAGATTAAGAACAAATGGTGTGCTGTATCACTATAATGCTCCACACAGCAATGTCAATAAACGAGTTTTTGGTAAGTGAAGTAAAAACACTCCTGTGATTGCTCAGCCTCCTTATTTGCCTGACTCGAGTCTTTGTGAGTTTTTCTCTTCTCTCTTCTCGAAGTTGAAAAATCAAGCGACAGCCGAAAACATTCAAACGGCTGTAACCGACCAGCTGAAGGCTATTCCAGTCTCGGAATTCCAGCACTGCTGTGAGGAGTGGAAGAACCTTCTCCAGCGCTATGTGGCTTCAGAACCATAAAAAATTATATATTTGAATAAACAAGTTTAAGAAAGACAGTCCCAACACTTAATTTGTAGACCTCGTATGTCCGTCTGAACGTACTAGACGCGAAAGCTACTCGACGGACTTCACCAGTGGACAGAGTTATTCGTGACAAATATACTAAGGGCCGGTTGTTCAACTCCAGTTTAAACCGCTGTTCAGATTGAACTAAGTTCAAAGTTGAAAGTCAGTTGTACAAATAAAGCTCAAGGCTTGAACCCAGTTCAAGTAGGCATAGAACCTGACCGGTCGATGTCCCTCGGTTAAACTCAGTTCAATGTGAGTAACATAAATATCGTAGCAAAGTTTAGCGAAGGAGTTGTGTGTTAAGTTTAAAAATGGACATTCCCGAAGAGATAACTGATGATGAGGACTTCTTAGAATTAATAACCATCGTACATATACCCAGGTTACCCAAAACTTACAAACAGAGACCTGATAATTTTCGGATTTGGAACGACACTCAATTCTTGCAACGTTTTCGGTTATCAAAAAGTACTGTTAGATCCATAATAGATAAAGTTGCAGATGATATCAGAAATATAACAATACAGTAAGTTCATTTATAATTACTAGGTATCAGAGCTATTCCTGACGGGTGCATATTGTGCTCCAAATTGAAGAATAAATATCATTACCTATTTCAAATTTTATATATTTTATATATATATTTTTAAACATAATTTTTTTATAAATTTATACAAACACCAACTTATGGGAATGCTGTGTTGCATCTAAATTGAAAAATCGTTCTTTCATTGTCGGTGAATTTGCAAAAACCATCTGAGCTGCTCAAAGGCTACTCACTCTACATGAATGGCCCTGGGTTGATATAATGCGGGTGGGATTTGGACAAATGTGTATAAAAGCTATTTTTTTATAGAAATCATGCCCTCACGCCAGATTATATGGTCTTTGTTACGCTAAGTTACCTTGCAACTGGGTCCTTTTTGCAAGTAATAGGGGATGTACAAGGTATGGACAAAGGAACT